TCTTGCCAATAGCCCCTTGATTTTCACTTTAAATTACATGTGAAAACTGTGCTTAGCCTCCAGAAAATCTTAATATCGGTCAAACTTGATTTAATTTCACTTTTGAATGTAAAATAAATTCTATAAATAGCACTTCTGCTTCCGTTTTTCACGCCACCAGGTGAGAGAACCAGATACTTTTTGTAAATACTTTCTGACCAAATTTCCTAGTGAAATCTTTTTCACTCCCTAAATGTTAGTGAAAGTTCTAGAACCAAACTGTAATCAGTTCCATTTAGATTTCACCTGAAACCAAATCATGAATTTGAAGAGGACGTGACGCATTACGTCACACAGGCAAAAACTGTTGCTTGCTGAGCGCCTTCCAAAGACAACCATCTCGAGACAATATTTATACTACAGTCAGCACCCGTCAAGAAAACGACACAAGTGTACTAATCACGTAAACTCCAAATGCAAAATGCATTTGTAAAGATTGCTTAAACTCTTGTTGCACTTCCCCAAACGACGAGAAAAAACTCATCAAATGAGAAACGAGCACATAATGTTTGTTAACTCCTCAACCCACAAGTCCTCAGACTGCCTATTTCCACTTTCCATAGTGGAAAAATAAGCAACTGCTGCACCTTAAGTTTCAGACTCACTTTGAAAGCCACTAATGGCACACACCCAACTTCCGCTTTTTCAGCCACTTGTACTCACTGACCTAAATAATTAATTCTAAATTTAAAGTTTCTCAAAGTAATTGCCAAGCCCATCAAATTAAGATCAACTGCTATGCTAATCAGTAATATACACCAAGCTGTAAGTATCGTTATTATAGCAACCTATAGAAATTCCATAACATCTATGATCTTCTTATTGTGCAACAAAAAAAGACAGTTTTTGCTAATTGTTGTTGTTGTTTTTTTTTACACAACTCAAACCATAAGTCACGTAAAATTTTGAAATATATACAAAGTAACATATGTGCAATATACAGATCAACATAATAAAAACTGGAAATGAAGTCCTCTACAAAATGATAATAAATTTCTAAAACGTTGTAAAAACTTAATCTATTAAAACGCTAATAAGTAAAGTAAATGCAAATGTCTTTCAATAATATACCAATTGAATAGTCAAAGCACGGCCAGACAACATCGCATACAAATTAAGCTGTACTAATATAAATATACGAACAAAAAAGCTAAGCTTATCAACAAGTTGTCAGAAAACGTGATCAGTGCTTCCAAATCTTGAAAATTTTTTATAAAACGTTGAAGAACAAGTGCACTATACATTTTCACCGAACTGTATAAATCCTCTCTAACCCCATTAAAAGTTATCATCTGGCTTGAAAATACTTTAAAAGTAATAAATAATAAATCCAAAAAAAGCAAAAAAAAAAATAAATAAATAAACTTGAACACAAAATTTTAAAAGGCTCACGAACAAGGGCTAGTTGGTCAAAAATAAAAAAAAA